TATAAATGTCAATTAAGTTGCCTACGTATCCCTTATATTGGGAATCAAAGTCCATGTAGTTCTTTCGATTTACTTACATGTACTGCTGTACACGAGTGGTTGTCTCTAATAGTCATAGTCATCATCTCCTGTTCCAGTTCCACCACTCGTCGTACTCGTAAAATCTGATGCGTCATCGTCGTCGTCTGCTTTTTCATCTACGTACATAGCCGATTGCATCCTTCGTTCGACCTTTTTCCAATCCATCAGCAGCATTTGTGCTTGTAGATTTTCGGGCGTCAGCCTCGATCGTCGTGCGTCGAGCATATAACCTCCCTCGCTGAAGGCTTGTTCGACCGCAACTGTAGATGCTAGGACGGCGAAAATCTCTTTGGCTATCAAGAAAAGAATAGGATATATGCCTTGCATTCTCGACCACCAGTCCAAGACATCGAAATTGAGTGGCAGACTTGGTTCACGAGCAATCGTAAGTATCAAATTCGACGTTAGGTAGTGATCAAGCTCATAGTATCTAGTTCCCTTTGCCCTTTCAATGCCAGCATTCTTGTAGGGATTTAATGATGTCCACCACTCCTGAAAGTTCGAAGCGCCTACTTGACTACCGCCGTAAGAAGAAGACCCGCTGCTGCTGCCCCCGCCGCCACGAACAAATGTGCTGGGAGGTTCACCTTGTGCAATCGTTGTTTCCCTAAACATGTCATACAACAAATTTTTTGCTTGCTCGACGAGCAGCAGTATGTTAGGTTTTTGACTGTATGTTGGGACATCAGTCGGGATTGGGAGTTCATACATATAATTATAATACATGTTAAGCTGCTCTACCAAGCGAGCTTCACGTACCGAAGGATCTAACAAACATGCAGCAAAATGTGTATCAGGAATGAAATAATAATATTTTAACCATTTCTTTAACATTTCCTCAACTAAATAGCCATATTTATTAAAATTCAAGTCGTAAAGATCCTTGAAAGCCCACATTATGGCTATAGCTTGACTTAACACAAGCTGAGCAGTAGGATAATAAACACCTGAAAGCATGTTAGTAGCATTTTTAAAATGTTTCTAAAAATTGAATAAGTGCATTACAGTTCTCCCAATCTCTTGTTGACACTTGGACATCACAGTCCTTACGGTTTGAATGGTTAAAAAAATTCTGCAATTGTGTCATAAACTGAACCGTGTCACTCAACATTTTAAATGTTGAGTTCCACCGGTTAGGAACGTCGGGTTGAAATTTTTTACGTTTCACCCCTTGATCTTTACAAAATCGTCCCCATGCTTTCATTTCATGGGGACGTTTATGTAAATAATTAACAGCGTCCCTAATTGGCGTGACCGAATCTTTAAAAGCATGATAACCAGCTTGTACCCAGAGATTTAAGACATGACATATACAACAAATATGAAAAAATCTTCCACCGCAAATTGGAGTGCAAATATCGGTAAGTTCACGTATAGATGCAGTATTTGCAGTAGCATTATCAAACGAAATGGAAAATACTTTTTTACCTATTTGATATTTATCAAAAAAAAATTGAAATTAAACGAGCAATATTAGAAGCAGTGTGTCGTTCATGAAATGCAACATAAGCAATTAAACATTTTTGTAAACTCTAATTTTCATCTATCCAATGACAAGTAATTCCCAAATAGAAATTATTTTGCCAATAATCAGACCAGATATCATCACAAATGGATACTCTATGATTTAAAGATTTAAGATGCAGTGCTACTACTCGGGAGTTGCTCTATGCCCCCTGTCAATTCCCAATTTTGTCGGATGATTCCTTTCTAAGTGTCGTTTCAACGATCCGTACCCGTCGCCTTTTTTGAAATAGTACTGCTTCTTCTCGTTCGCCGGGCAGTAGTTGCAAACAGCATAAAAGTGATTCTCACCTCTTGTCAGATTGGCCACCTTCGTGTAATGTTGTTTGAATATGGCAAATGTCGGTCTGCCACGGGCGAAAACAGAGACCGGGTCCGGGACCTCCGGGTCCGGCTGTTGCTGCTGCGTCGGTTGCTGAACTTCCGGCGGGGACTCTCCAAATATATCATCGAAATGGTCGTAATATGGCTGCTGTTGCTCTTGTTGCTCAGGCTGAATTGAACCAAACATTCGCTCGATCGTCGCCTCATCAATGTCATCGGCGACACCGGGAATATCCACATGTATCGATGGATTCGCAAATTCCGGCAATGGAGGTCTCAACGAAGACGTGCCGGTGTCGATATTTCTACGTTTCTGTCCGAAATTCGAACCACGACCACCACGAGAGCTCGACATTTTATAATTTAAATAATAAAAAATAAATTGGGGAAAATTATATAGAATATGATGAAATAAAAATAAATGGGGAGATGTGGTATTTTTTTTTCGATTTTTTTTTTTTTTTACAAACCAAACACGAAACTAAAAATGATTAACCGAGCAATGAAAACCGAACACTAGAACTTAGAGGTAAAGTTAGAGACTTAGAGAGAAGNCGGTTCACGGGTCGCACCGGCGGGTCGGCGGGGACAAAAATTTGGGCCGTTGGATCGCATCGATCTAAGGGCCCATATTAATTTTTTTTTTAAAAAAAAAATATCTGACCGTTGGGCCCGTACGCGGACCGGACCGACCCGTGGCCCGGGTAGACCCAACGGCTAGTCAGGTATGGGCAGGCGCGCGGATCCTGACAGGTTGCCGGGTCGGTCCGGTTGACCCAGCCCGACCCGACAAATATAAAAAATATATATAAAAAAAATTGATCGAAACCGTTGCCGGCGGTCGGCCCGTGACCCGACCCGGCCCGGACCGGACCGCCGGGACGAATTTCTTTTTTTTTTTTTAACTTGGACCGAACCGCGGCCCTTACGGTTCGGTCCTACGGACCGGCCCTTATATGGCCGGTCCGGACCGGTTCGGTGCTGGTTTCCGGTCCGGGTTGTGGGCCGATTCGGCCCGTGGCCATGTCTATGCGGCTCTCCTATGAGAGAATATCCATTCTAAACATGTTCAAATGTTAAGTTTAATACATAAAATGGCATAAGGCTATGATATTTATTTTCAATAGTCTGGGTGACATAAAAAAATATTCCAGATGAGCTTTATATGTAACTAATGCATGGCCCGTGTGATGCACAGGAAAAAAATATTACGATTGTATTATAAATTAAATATATAAATAACATTAATCATGATTTATCTATTATTTTTAAATTAAATCGGGTTGGACACAGTCCGACCGGATGGACCGAGAACCGGTTTATAACCAGTCTAGTTCGCTTGAATAAAATATTTGCTCTCGAATCCGTCAACACCAGTCGATTGGACTGATAGGATCGATACGATTTTCTAAATAAATTTTATTATATTTAAAAATATTTTAAATAAAAATACGTATTTAAATAAAATAGAGATTTATAAATTATTTATCAATTAGTTTAAACATTTGAATTTATAAATTGTTTAGATATCTAAGTAATACATTTTATTTAAATTTATTACAAAATGTACTATATATATATTAAAATATTTATAAATTAAAATCTGAACAAACCACAAATGATTTAATATAATAGATTGATCGTTTCGATGATGGTCTAGTTCAGAAAACCTTACATTTACTGTACACTAATAAATATTATAATAAAATATTATTTAATTCACATAAATATTAATAAATGATATATAAATATTCATAAATCATTAAATATGTCGCCATAAAAGTATTGTTAATACGATTATTTGAAGTTTGGACTACATCACATTCACGTAATAAAATATTTTCAAAATAAAATTTATATTTAGGTTCAATAATCGATTTGGTGTGGTCGAACTGATACATAACTTAGTCACCTGGGATCAACTAAGTTGTGTCAAGTTTTTTGACTATTTTAAATATCACCTAAATGTAATTCAATCAACCTGGGCAGTACCCTAATTCAATCACCCGATTGATCCGAAGAAATTTTCTTTTTTTCTTTAAATATATTTAATTTTATGAAATAAAAATATTTTATGATTCATATAATATATGTCTACACCAAATGATAGTATATTAAGATTATAAATTATATATCTAAAGTTGAATTAATTAAACATAATAATTTTCAAAAAATTAAGATTAATTGATTGATTATACAATTTAAAGAATATTTTTAGCGTTGAATTTTTTTAAGGCACAAATATAAAGACCGAGATTCAAAAACTTTTGTTATATTTTGAATTGAGATTTTATAAATATAGAGACTGAGATTTAATATTGTTTGTTGTTTCTAAGAAAAATAAATAAAAATAAAAACATACACACTTAATAAATCTTAGCTGAATTTTTTAAATAATAAAATGAACTAAAGCTCGAAATTTAAGGTAACATTTAATGTTATATGATTTTAAAGAAAAAAATAAAAAAATAATAAAACTTACTATTTATAGGCTGCATTAAATTATTGACCTATTTTTTTGCTACTATTTTTGGTAAATGTTAATTCTTATTATATATATATAGATTCCAATTTACAGATGCCAATTGGCTAACATCAATTTGTCTCAACACTTTTTTTCTTATCGTGAATTATTTACACTGCGTTGATTCCATTTTATATGGGCCTTTTTATTTCATGTGCTTGCATTAGCCTGAATCTTCATTTGATTGGACCGTTACAGAAAATATCCAAGAAGCCAATTTAATCTCAATTAATAACTTATTAAGATTTTCATCGAATATTGTTGTGCCAAAAATAAACCAATTTACCGACACTCATACTAGGCTTTTTCTTGCACTGTTCAACAAAATTTCAACGTTTAAGGGGAGGTTTGGACATAGATNTTAAAATTCAAAAAATTTGACCATCGATCAAATTAATTTGGCCCTTCCTGTGAACCATTAAGCAAAAATCTTTTCCTTGGCCCGCGTAATCATCTAATAAAAGAATTAATTGAACAAACAAACACTCCACATTTTCCATTGAAAAACAGTAATAATAATAATAATTGTAAAATAATATAATTATCATCATTGAGAAGTTGAAGAACCGAAACTATCTCCCCTGTAGTACCTCAGCTCCAATGATATTTGCCTCTCATACTGAAGCTGCTTGTAAAAGTTTGCAATAAAAGCTTCGGCCCTCCTATCAATATCATCTTCCGATGACGGGTAGCTAATGGTCCTCTGCAGGCTCCGGCAGCTGGACGAGCCCGAGTCACTATTCGGGCCCTGATCATCCACGCAGGCCCTCAATCCGGGACGATCATTGAAGCTAAGCCTCTTCTTGCCAGAGGATGCCCCCACAATGGACGCGAGTTTCCATTTATTTAGGTTGAAGTTTATTAGAATCTTGATTTTCTTGACGGCCATTTTCAGCTTGTCCAGCAAGGCCCACCTCTCGTCCGCCATGTTAATTATTGAAAAATAGTGGATGTTTTTTTTTTTTTTCTTTTTTTTTTTTGGAAAAATAGTGGATGTTGTGACAGACAAAAATGGTTGTAATTTGTGTCTCTGTATGTTGTTGAATGGGGCCTTGTTAATTATATGTGTCTGTGTGGGGGGCTCGTATGAGAGAGAGAGAGAGAGAGGAGAAGTTTACCATATTTTTATTATTTAAGGTTTTCTTATTATAAACTAAAATGCTACCTAAATTTCAGGAATTCTAATTTGGAAAATTTCATATATATAAGTTCATTATATACGTGTAACTTGCAAATTCAAATGCATTTTGATATGATACATGAAATTCAATTGCATCTTATATGTTTGTGGTTTAACAATGCAGTTTTTTTCTCTTTAATTATTTGGTTGAACAAAATTATTTGGATGGGTCAATTCATTCTATATTATATATACATTAGTATTACTGAAATGCCACAATTATTACAAATTTAATAAAATAGTTTTGTTCTCTAACGTATAACATATTATTATATAAATGATTTTCTTGGAAGGTATATGGACAAACTAACATTAATTTTAACCTTTAGATGATATAATTTGTTAAAAAATTAACATATTTTTATTATGAAATGGTAATTTAAAAATATGTTAAAAAAAAATGTATAGTATTTTAAAATATAAATATATATTTTTATTAAAGAAATATCTCTGATTAATTTATCCAAGCAAAACCAGAGTGGATAGTATCATTCAATTCTTAATTATCCACCTCACTAAGTAATAGTTTCAACCTTAACTTAGCTAATGTGGTTACCTATGCGAGTCCTGGGATGTAATATACATAAGTAAATAAATAAATAAAATACTTTTTAAGTTATTAAATTAAAAATTTAATATTTGATTAATATGTTGATGTACAATGTTTTATAGTTTGTAAAATTCATCATTTCCGATTATCTTATTAGTTGTTTAATCATAAATTCTTGTTAGAAATATTTTTTTTCGAGTCGTAGTTCATTACCGTTTGACTGATAATTAACTTGTACATATAATTTTAAAACTATTTTAATTTAAAACTCAAAATAGTTTTTTATCGTTATAATTGCATGCACATTTGTATTCATTTCATATTATGTAAGTTTTTCAAACCTATGTGAGTAAAAATACAAAATTTAGTAATTTTCATATTTTTTATTCTAAAACATTATTTACTATATTTTATTTCTTCTTCTATGAGACAAATTTAATCACATTTGTTATTTTTATTAAAGTTCATTAGACAAACTTGATCAAAATTATGCTAAGTTAATTAAAGATTTGCTCCAATAAAACCGAGTAGTATAATTGGAACATGATAATGTATATTCTTAGAGCATCTGCAACGTTTTGAGTCTAGTTTTATTTATATGACACTTAAATAGACAAGTCTTGGATGACATGGACACAAATATTTAAAAGTAATAAAATTGACTTCAATCCAAAGAGACTAGGTCTTTACTTGTGTCTAAAATAGACTTAATGGTAGACTGAGTTTTCTTGCTGTCACATCACCACGACCCAGTCTATTTACACTTGCATTGAAGAGTATATTTTTCTAGACTGAGTCTATTTCCTATGTGGCATGTACAATGTACTTCAATTATTGTTAAAGTCGATTAATACGTGTTGATTAATACGAATATTAAATACGTGTTCATTAATAGACCCAATCATACGTGCTCATTAATATTCGTATTCGTGTTGATTAATACGTGTTGATTAATACAAATACGGTATTTGTGTTCGTGTTGATTAATACGTGTTGATTAATATTTGTATTCGTGCTGATTAATATGCCACGTCCGCACGACCCAATCATTGTATTATTTTTATTTATCTTTACAAACCCGAATCCCGAATTTTAAGGAACTTATTGTTGAATTACGTGGGTGGAACAGAGGAAAAAAAAAAAATTCTTTGCAAGAGGCGTGGGGTAGAGGACAAGCGTGTTGCGTCCTCTTAAAAGCTAATGTTAAAGGATGACTATTTTCAAAATACATATTTGATCTGCAGCTGCACAATTGCATTTGCCATCTCTTTACCATATGACTGCACGTTATATACAAAATAAATTAATTGTTTGCATCGTATAATTTATGTAACATGCACCACCATATTGTAAAGGAAATGAATAATTTTTTTTTTTAAGAAAACTTGTAATATGAACGAGCATGATAACTATTTAGCTATAGCTGATGTGCACCAAGTATCAGATCACCCATATTTTAAGTTGAATCGCTTCGTCTCGATTGCATTGAACTACAAATCGGATTAACCTGCAAAACAGCACTAAGGGCGGGCCCCGATGTAGACACCATAACACTCAAGTTAGAAATCTTATACTGATCATGTATCATAAGTGCTTATTAAGAATGTGAATTTTGAAGTGAACTTAAATCCCTTATTTATAATGGATTTATTAATGACTTACTTTCGAAGACAAAAGGGTTTTGTGTAAACATCATCAAAGGATCTTGAATAAATAATTTGGTGTATACGAAACACTTACTTGATGCGGAAGACGACATAATTTGTGATCTTGATCTTGATGATCACATGGGGTTGAATCGTAGATCTAAATCAGTTTCTCCCTCCTGACCTTCTCTTAATGTAGCAGAAAATTGATGGAAAAAACTGCGTACCCTAATAAGAGGAGAGATGACTAATTTATATAGGAGTGCTTTAGATCTGGTACGTCCATCAAATATCCAGATTAATGGCTTAGATTTGTTTGACTATTAAATAAAGGCCTAGCCCAATAGGATAATTAATTGTGAGGATTTGTTTGACTATTAAATAAAGGTCTAGCCCCATAAGATAAAAAATTGTGAGCCCAATGCTTTCGGGCCACATATTCTTTCATTTTGATGATAGAAAGGAAGCAAATCCTTCAGAGTCAAGTTGTAGATATACACAAATTTACTTGGATATCTCTTTAGCAATAAATTATAAGTCCTCATAGATATTCAAACCAATATTATAATATCTTCGAATCGTAGAACCAGAACTGAACCGTGTAAGATCATGTTTATTTTGACAATAATTCGAAAATGTATAATATGATATCATCTAATGTTTCTAGAAATAGGATACTCAGATGGATAACATAAAGAAAAAAGAAAGATTAAATTACTTGAGAATCTCCATAATTATAGTTGTATTCTTACCAAGTAGTTGAACTTAATTGATTGAGTCATTTTTGTAGGTAAAATTTGGGGAGTACAAGTATTGCGCCTTAATTCAATAACCAATTAATATACGTTCACAAGTATTGCGGAAATCAAATAATTTAAAATAAATCTTCAAGAGAGAGAGCATCTGACACTCTCTCGGAACTCTTTCATATTTAAACAGGCATTTGACCAAGTGTACAAATAGGATTTTATAAGCGAAAACTCCTTCTTTCTAACCTACTTTGTACTCCACCTATCTAATTACTTTTCCGACCACGACATGGACTTAGTCTACATGTATGGATCCCTCCGAGCAGTGAATGGTGCTCGTCTCAAGCACTAATAAGAAGAATACAAAGGACGTGACTCAAATCAAAGTGAAGAATACACACTCTAATTTGATCACCAACTAATAAAATGAAAGACTATCACAATGATTTTTCGATCAGCCCCCAACAATACTCTCTTCTCTCTGAATTGTCTCGCATACTTAATACCAGTGTTTTAGAAGTCACTAGGCGTCCGACCAGTGCCTAGAGCCTAGAGTGCCTAGGCGAGACATAGAAATTATCATTAAATATCTTTTTTTTCACTACCTAAAACATGAAACTAGTTCAAGTTATAATAAATCCAAATAATAATATTAATATAATATAATGAAAACTGAAAACATGATAGCAATTAGCAACCTACATGACCACAAGTAATATTCCGATAAGCGTAATCTCAAAACAAACTCCAAGACTAATAAGTACATAACCACAATCTCAAAACTAACTCCAAGTCCACATAAGTACATAAACACTACTAAGTACATAACCACAATCTCAAAACAAACTCCAAGTTTAAAACAAACACCAAGTCTCAAAACAACCCACATGACCAAAACACTATTAAGAACTAAGAAGCGAGAGCTAAGAAATATTGCCAAGCACAAAGAGATCTTCTTCTTCTCCATAATTCTCCAATATATGCTCTTCATTCGACTCAAAGTCAATATCATTCATATTAACTTGTTCCTCCTCCACAGATTCAAAATCTTCTTTCTCAAGCTCTCTCTCTTGATGTGTCATCCTTAACTTCAAGTCCATTAATCCCCTCACCTTCATCGTCTACTAATCACGGAGTAATCCACTCTTGTACTTTACTTGCCTCACTGGCAAGTAACACATCTTTTTTATTCCTCAATTTGCATTTGTTCGATAAACGCAGACTAAATTGGACATAGACTAGATTATTCAAACTCGAAACATCAAGCCGTTTTTTTTTTTGTATGTATTTGAAANTCTCTCTCTCTCTATCCCTCTCTCTCTCTCTCTCTCCTCCACCTCGCCTCGGATCACCTCCGTTAAACTATCTTTATCCCCAACCTAACTCAACTCAACCCAACTTAATAATTAAAATTTATTTTTCTCTTCTCCACCTACACAACCCAACATCACAACTCAACTTATCTTTATCCACAGCCAACCTGAAATATTTATTTTATTTTTATTTAATTAAAATTGCAATTGTGTTCTAAAATTTATCAAATGTTGTATCTACTAATAAAAAATGAAAAACAAATACGAATTTTGATATTTTTTATTATTTTATTTAATATAAAAATACACTTATCCAATAAAAATGAGACAACTGTACATTCCCAAGAGTATTTATTGTGTTTTTGTGCTTATTTTCGTGTATTTTATGTGCCTTATTTGAGTCTTTTTAGGTTCATTTTAGTGTCGACCGGTCCATTTTATCGTATTTTGTGTATTTTTGCGTTCGTTATGTGTTTTGTGTTTTGCCGTATTTTTATTGTCTTTTTGGTGTTAATTAGGTCCATTTTTCCGAGCTTGGAAAAACGAGCTGATCGAGCTGTCCCGAGCCATGACCCGGTCTGGACCCACACACCGACTCGCGCGCGCCAGCAGACCTGCGTACCGACCCGCACAGGCCTACGCNACTCTCTAGCGCCCCACGCCTGCGTGTCAACAGCCTAGCCTGCGACCGCGCGAGTGCAGCGCCCGCAACCAGCCGGGTCATTTAGCCACGTCACGAGTGTTTTTGACTAAAAGTGTGTGTTTTTAGTGTGTATTTGTAGTGTAGCTATAAATAGACATTGTGCTTTGTATTTTTAGACACCACCCCTCATTTCCCAACATTTTAGTTGGGAAATTAGCTCTCTTTTTATTCTTTTCTCTCTAGCTTTGTGTAAGAAGTCCATGACTCAATTTTTCCGGCGAAAATTCCAGCGACTTTATTTTTGTTCAAGATTCGAGCTTTCCTCATTATTTTCGTCCGAGCTTGCGATAGGAGAGTAAGTACCTTGACTACGGCTTATTACTTCGAGTTGGTTTTCCTTCTTGCTTGTTGAGTTGGTGTTTTGGCCAGAATCATGTGTGATGCTCGATTTTAGGACTTTGCTTTATTTTCATTACTTGCGTAAGTGTGTTAGGAATTCAATACATGCTTATCTTGTGTAAAGACTTTGCTCAAAGCTTGATGATTTAGTTAAGAAGGCTCGTGTTAGATTAAGTAGGATCACTTTGCTCGTATGTTTCGCTTTGTTTATTTTCGTTTTTCTTGAGTTATGGAGACTTCGTGCAATCAAATTTCGATCTTTCTTTCAAATCTTGCATCCTTCACCTTCTGTTCTTAATCTCTTAGCTTAATTTCGCGCAAATCATCCCCAATCTAGCGATTAGCATGTTTAGGACCTTATTTTTGGTTTTATGAATTGACAAGTAGATAGTGAACGAAGCTCCGAACAACTTTCATTCGAGAAGACGACCCGAGTGAGTACTCGGCTAAAAACTACAAACAAAGAGTCTGACTCAAAATGTGACTCGTCTAACATTCATGGCCTTTTCTTCTGTGTTTGTGTTNATTCAAACTTAGGTTATGTTTGGTAGACAAATAAACTAACTTATAGCTTATTTAGTTAGCTTATAAGCTCCATGTATTCAAAGAAGCCTTATTTGGTAGGACGAGCTTTTTTAAAAAGCTCGAACTTATTTGATAAGCTTCTTTAGGTAACTTTTCAAATAAACTAGTTGAATTTTTTATTTCAGCTAGCTTATCAGTCAATTTTACCAAACACTTTTATCATATAAGCTAGCTTTTCAGCTATAAATCATAAGTTATAAGTTATTAGCTCAAAAATTATTTATCAACTAGTAGTTAGTTTTACCAAACATAACCTTGGTGGTAATAACTATGGTTTTACAGCGGTCCCCAATCTTTCCTCTATGTACCTAATTCGAAAACACGACACAAACAGTATGTCCCACAGCGACACGATCCCCCTCCACCCGAGCTCCCAATCGGACATTGACGAAATCGAGAACCTCATCAACTCCTACTCCTCCTCCGTCCTCCCCGCCCGTCCTCCGTCGCCTCCGCGCGCCTCCATCCCCATCTCCTCCAACCCTCCGCCACCTCCTTCCTTTGCCTCCTCCAATATCCCTCCGCCTACCGCCCCCAAACCACCCCTTCCCCCTCCGCGTGGATCCACAAGCAACGGGAGCGACATTGCCTCTACCGGGTTCGGTCCGGGCCCGAACACCCTGACGGAGCCCGTATGGGACACCATCATGCGAGATTTGACAAGGATCGTCAGCAATTTGAAGCTGGTCGTGTTCCCGAATCCGTTCAGGGAGGATCCGGGGAAGGCGTTGAGAGACTGGGATCTATGGGGTCCTTTTTTCTTCATCGTGTTCCTCGGCCTCGTGCTCTCTTGGTCCGCCTCTGTAGAGAAGGTGTGTTAAATTTTACTTTTGTTGCTTCCCATAGATTATAATTATGTAGGGCTCTATTTCAATTCTGTTTCGTATGGATGAGAGCTTTTATACACTTGACGTTAATGTTGTGTGATTGAGGCGTAAATTTGTCCGGCTTATTAAGCAGTGAGGATAGCAATACGGTTCATTTGTCCCTTAGATGCTAATTATTTTGTTGGTCATGTTAAAGTTAATAATGTACACTACTCGAATCTTGGTTCTACTAACAGATGTCAATGCTGTCAAAGTGGACTGCCGTGAGCTATTGTCTAACTAAAGGCTCTAGAGAACTTAATAATCTTTGAATTGTTTAAAACTATATGAGTTTAAGACTTTAAGTGTTAGGCTGCAAGCCTTGAATAATGCATGAATATTGTGTTAACACTATCATAGTATCATATCATTGACTTAATGCTAGTGTGGAAGAATTAGATCAATTTGTTTGATCTAATTTTCTGTCTGGTGTGTGTAATTAATGTGTTGAAGTCGTTGTGGACCTTGTGGTAATGTTTCTCCTCAAGTTGTTTAGTGCAAGAATATTCTTGGCAGCAATGGAAGAATTTTCAAACGAACATCGAGAACACAAAAAGAATGGGGGTGGAATGAGGGAGATTTGGTAGAGAAATTTTTTTGTTAAAATGTGAATACTTAATGTTCTACCAAACAAGCTTTGTGTTGTTTGATCAATGATTAGAATCTTCGGCTTGATATTGTAGATCTAATTTATAATCAAATGACGTTAATGACTCAATGGTAAAGTTACATGGCACGTTCACTAATTTGCGTGAAACTAATATAGACCAACTGTTAATGTTGTATGGGATCATAAAATGTACAACAACTGGCGGATTCAACCAGGGGCTGTTCTGGGTTTTAGACTTCAGCCCTTATATTATGTATATAAAAAGGAAATTAAACTGTAACAATACAGAGCCCAAGTATAACTAATTCACTCTTATCGCTCAAGACTTCTAGAAAAAAATCTTTTGGGCCGTTTCCTGGCTCAGGCCCTGTGTAAACATGTTTCGATTTAGTGAGACCAAGAGCTAATGCAATCCATGCACATTTATTCGTCTTACTGATGCTTTACATAAATTTTTAATACTATTGTTGCTTTGACATAATTGAATGTAATATTTGTGAGTTGATCCTCAATGAGGACATGAGAATTGAGACCTTTTTTTAACACTGTCCAAAATAGTATCATCCAGTTTGGTCCATGTATGATAATTGCGCAAAATGCTAATGATCAACCAAAGATTACTGTGACTGTGAGTCTTCGTTACTTCTGGACCGTATAGCATTATTAATTGGAGGGCGTGTAGCTTTACAATGTCTCTTTGATAATGTTAGGCGCAAGGCTTGACTATCTTCTCGTTTGATATCTCCCATAATTTTCATCTCTCAATGTTGTCCTTTGCACAAATGGTGAAAGTTTATCTATGGCCACAAGATGAAACATTGTGTAACTCGATTCTATCATTTAGCAGGTAGCACCTTGCAAGTTTAAAGATTAGCAAATGTGGTTGTGGATTTAGGAATCAATGACCTTCTTAACATTCTATCCTCGTCATGGATCAAGAAATCTGTCATTTGCAAGATACTTTCTGCCCTTTTTAGATTTATTTTTTTTTCGTTTCATTTGAAGAAGCAGGGGAAATGATGGATCGTGGATGGTTAATCCAGAATGTTGAATCATGCATATATCAAACATACGAACCTGTTACAACCTCGTTTTTCATTTTACCAATGGTCTTTTGCCATTTGCAGTCTGAGGTTTTTGCCGTTGCATTTGCATTGCTTGCAGCAGGAGCTGTTATTTTGACCTTGAATGTTTTGCTGCTGGTACTCTCTCTCTCTCTCTCTCTCTCTCTCTCTCTCTCTCTCTCTCTCTCTCTCT